TAAATTAAGTAAACTGTGACTAAGTTACCCGTAGGAATAAGTAAATAATAAGTGATCGAAAACAGAATTTATATTTCAGTGTTCATTTCTAACAGTTCTTTATACAAATGCAATACTTAGAAAATCATGATTTTTTTTCCAGCTTATATTATGACACAACACCCCGGTGTTTTTTCTTCCATAATTATATCTTCAAATTACAGATAGAGCTCTTATAAAATCTCTTTATTTTAGTATATTTTTGAGGTCGTTTCGGTCTCAAAAAGGGGGTGCGATGTAAATTTTTAACCTAACATTTATATGCCACTTCAGTAATTTTTTTCATGAAAATAGGGCAAGGTTCGATTATTTTTTCGTTTTCAAGTGTTAGAAGATACATTTATCTATACAAGATGGCATATCTAATTTTTTTTAGAGACGATGACGTTTTGAGAAAAGTTGGATAAAAAATTGCAAATTTTGTATTTTTGTTTTTTGGCTATATCTTCTAGAAGCATAGATAACTCAGGAAATTGCTAGGTCACAGAACGTTTCCTATAATTGAACCTTAATATTCAGTAAAGAATTGTAGTGCATTTAATAAGACTTTAAGGGAAAAAGCCAGAAACCGAATTTCTCATAAACTTTAGCAGGGCGTATCTTAGGAAACGAGTGCATGCCCATTAATAGGCAGCGATATGTTAATAATAAAACAAAACAAAACTGAGCGGTATGTTTGTTTTTATTATTTAAACCCCTTAAAACATACTTGTATTTTACTTTTAAAGAAATGGTCTCGAACGACCTTGAACTTTGAAATTTCATATGGGGAAAGGATATATATTATTCATTTGCTCAAACTTGCTCAATAATAATTTTTCATAATCTACTTGCATATAAAAAAGTTCAAGACAATCAAAAAATACGACTGCCACACATTTACTAAAGTTCAAAATAATGGCTCTTAAAAGAAAAACACTCGAAAGTATTTATCAGCTGTCGAATATAATTTCAAAAACTATTCTTATTTCCAAGATTAATTTATTAAATAATGTTTTAAAATCCTTAATTGTACCACTTTTTAAACAATAATTTATATAATATAGAAGGTTAATATTCTGTTTGGGAGTATGTCTCTAAAATAAATGAGTCTAATTCCAAAAAGTGTTTACTAGTTGAAAAAGTTACTGGTAAATACGAGTGCTGTGAAGAATATTAATTAAAATTTCATCTTCCAAGGAATTTCTCGAGCACTGAGATGTATGGTATGTGGTAATTTTTCAAGTTTTCACGTAGTCAAAAGTTTATTTGCATTAACTAGTAACTTTTACTTGTTCAGAAAATGAATTTCTCTTCTGATCTTAAATGGGTAATTTTCCATCATTAGTTTTTGCCTAAGACAATTAAGAGGAATTCATTTTCTATTAAACTTACCATTGGTAGTTTTCTTGCAAGACCATGCATTTAAGAATCAACGATTAGCAACGAAAATACTTTAGACAATAAAATTAGCAATAGTTATAATTGTATTTGCATTAAAAATTTAATTACTGGTACCCCCATTTAAACGCTTTAAAAATCCAGACAGAGAAGTTTCATAATTTTTTCTATAAATCAGTAGATAAATATAGAAAAACTTTCTAAATAATGCTTAATTAAAAATTTAATCAATATTTGCTAAGAAAATTGATGTCTAGAATTTTGAAAAAATATTGAGAATTTTCATAAATATTTTTAATTTTTCAATAAAAAAAATCTGAAATACGTGTTCCGGACATGGGACAGTAATGAAATTTTAATTATATTTTATTTATTTCATTTATTTTAAATACAAAATGCGCCTGGTATACTGTTTGCAACTCAATGTGAGTGTTTTCTGCATCTCAAACAAACATATCTTTTTCTGTGGATCTGTTGACTGCCACTTTTTATTTTAAAAACTAATTCTCATTTTAAAAAATTTGATTAATTAATCTTTTCGTGCCGACTGTCACAAATACGTGCCAGCATAGAGTTGTATCAATCAGGGTAAAAAGATAAAAATGGTAATCAAAGTATTTCTTTAGCCGTTTATTTGTGGGCGGAGTTATAATTGTTTGATTTATTTAATTCACCATTACTTTGTTCAAAATAAAACTATTTAGTTATACTTTGATCTAACTTTGATTGTACATATGATTAAACTAACAATAGTTAAAGTAAAAGCAAAGTAAGTCTGTCAAATTAGCAACGTCTACATTTAATACCGTTTTTTCTTTAATTACATTATGATTTTGTACGAATGCATACCTGCCAACTTTTACACATTTGGCGTAAAATTTTATTTTTACCTTTAAAGTGGTAGTAATTATATGCTATTTTTTCTTTTATAAACTTAATTTTTAAACGAATTTGATCACCAATATTTTTTAAAAACTTAATCATATATAATATTATGCGTTACTCTCACCTTGGTCAGCTCAAGTGTCTTCAATTACAACGAATTTCGTTGCTTACAATTGAAATTTTAATTCCGTTTTAATACCACTGGGAAAAATCATAATTGAAGGAATTAAAAGTTGGCAGGTATGCGAATGCTTTTCTGAATCACCNTTTAAGTTACCGTTTTTTCTTTAATTACATTCTGATTTTGTACGAATGCTTTTCTGAATCACCCGTCCCCAAGGGGTTGAGACACTCTGTAGAGCGGAAATTTTACACAGAATTCTATTTATTATCTCTGGCTCTTAAGTTTTTATACAGTATGCGGAAATATTTTTCAATATTCCATATCTCCCTGGGTTTCATAAATTTAAATAGATAATACAAGTTTAATGACGAGTTAACACGACGTTGGTCAGCAACGCTTGAGCATAGAAAAACAAATTAACTTGTCATAAGTCAGCAATGCATATCTGCCAACTCTTCCGGACTTTTCAGAAAATTTAATTTTTGCATTCAGTGTGGTAGCTAAATTTTTACATTCATGCTTGATATCTGATTAATAAATTTACTTTAACACACTTTTAACTACCATTACATTTAAATAATTTAAACAGACTTAGCGAGAACCAGCTAGTAACTTTAGAAACATGACGAAAAGTAAATTAAACAATTACTATCCTACCACTGTTTTGTGTAGCTGCTTTAAAGCGAGCATAACTTGACAGGTATTAGGAATGTGATTACTTAAAATTTTTTGATAGTTATCTATTTGAGGTTAAAATAAAAAGATAAAATTTAGCTTTTACTTTATTATTATTTAGTGGTAGTCTGATAAAGAACGGGATTTTTGAATAGAGAAAATGATCCTTTATTTTCAGTAGTTAAAAAACTACCCCTTCAAAGAAAGTTTTGAGGTTGACAAATGTAAAAAAATACACCTGAGGTAGAAAATGAGATTCTGTTTTGCACCAAAAATAAGCCTCATTTAGTAATAAAATAAGACTCAATTTAAGCCTCATTTACACCTCACAAAATCAATCTTATATACAGCTCAGAAATAATTTTAGTTTAGATCGGGTGAAATTATTCACACCTCAAATATGCGTATTTGTTTGAAGTGTAGAAAAAATAATCTGTACACCTCAAAAACAATCTCCCTAGGCTGGTTTGTCTAAAGTAGATTTTCATCAACCTCAAACAAGTGTGAATAAGACAGCATACTCCTTAATTATACACCTATGGAGGTTGATCGTTTAAGGTTGTTTTTTAAATCAACTTTGAATAAACCTTAAACATGCTTTAAATTTCTGTAAGGGTATTAATATTTACACTATCGCAGGACTATAATATTTACACATCGTAGTTTAGGAATGGTAATACTTTTTCGAGTAGTGTACCAATTAATAAAGGTTTATTATTTCTTAAGCGTTTAGATTTCCACTTGTTTAATGTTAGTATTTTAACTTATTATTTAAGTTTAATATTAACAAGTTGAATACCACGCTAATGGTATTACATGGCTTGCTCGTCTGGCCACACAGTAAATAACTACAAACTAAATTTGCAAATATTAGACAGATTTTTCTAATTTTTTGATAGTTTAGAGTAACGTAAAGAAAGTGGTGAATTATATAATCCAGCCAATTGTTTAGAAATAGTGGTTGTTAAAAATCTACTGAATTGAATTTATTAAACCAAGAATGATATTTAATAAACTACCACTTGAAAATATTTATTCGCTATCCGGAGCAACATGGCATCTCTGTGTACATAAACAAAACTTTTTTCCTGTGTTCTTAATTGCATTAATTTCTTTAAACCATTTTAGCAACGATAATAATATTAAAAAAATTTAAATATTTACTCGAATGATGTGTTTCTAATAATCTTGGCTTCGCCGGTCACCGGTGACCCCCATGGCATTCAGCGTGTTAACCTCTTTCCTACGGCGCATGATGATATTCTGGATCACGAGTTATACCAGCCGTAAGCAAAAGGTTAAGATAAGGTAGAATGTTCTTCAGTAGGGGAGGGGAGCAGTTATTGTAAATAAAGAAATAAAATAATAGGAAATATTTAAAAAATTTTATGGAATGTAAACTTAGATTCATTTCATTTTGCTTTGCTTGAAAAAAATTATGTTCCTTTTAAGACTCTTCACTTTTTTTTTTCTTTTTTTTTTAATTTTCAAAATACATTAAATTAACCTTACAAATAAATATTACAATGCAAGAAAGATCTAAGCAAATAACGAAAATGTCGAAGTTCATGAATTTATTAGAAGTGGTTTATCTGAAAAAAGTAACAACGTCTCTATTTTTATTTTTTTTAATCTTTATTTTGAGTATAATTAGTATAGTGGTGCTAAGTTATTATTTTTTATTGCAGCATTGTTTATTTTCGGAGTTTTGCTGTATTCAAGTTAGTGAAAATGCCGTATTTATATTTCTGCCTTTAAAATTTTGGATAAGCAACAGCACCCTGTCATTGTTTGATGAATATTAAAGTTCACTATTCAAAAGGCTTTAAAAAGGCAAAACCAGCAAATATAATTAAGACCTATTTCAAAAAAGCATCAATGCTCGAAAAAAACAACACTAGGTACACCATGTTATAAAACTACATTGATTGTAAAGCTTCATTTGCTTCAAAACTATACAGATTGGGTACAACAGTTGACATGTTTCAAGCACTCAAAAATAGACGCCCATGTTCAAGACAAGCCAGACGTGAATGAGAAGAAATAAACATTATTACTTAAAAAAAAAATTGTTTCCTTTAAACTCACTGTCGATTTAGATATTTTGTAAAAATGCTGTGATGAAAGTGGGCCATATTGGCTTCTACATTCTTACTATATCTTCGGAATAAAATATTGAAAACACAATATGGATCATGTTATATTTAACATTCTTACTGTATCTTCAGAATAAAATATTGAATATACAATATGAATCATGCTATATTTAACATTCTTACTGTATCTTCAGAATTAAATATTGAATATACAATATGAATCATGCTATATTTAACATTCTTACTGTATCTTCGGAATAATATATTGAAAATACAGTATGACCCATGCTATATTTAACATTCTTACTGTATCTTCGGGACAAAATATTGAAAATACAATATGAATCATGCTATATTTAACATTCTTACTGTATCTTCGGAATAAAATATTGAAAATACAATATGAATCATGCGATATTTAACATTCAGTCGAACATCCTGCCATTGTCTTTAACATTCTATGTATGGTCTTTAACATTTTTTGTATTCTACGTTTTGTCTTCGACATCATTCTATGTATTGTATTATTCTATGTATTGTATTTAACACCCACACACAGAAAAAAAAACTTTCTGTCACTTTTGTTCCGTTTGTGTACAGAGAGTTAAGTTAATGATATCATTTAATGATAATATCATTTAATATTAATTATCATGAATGAAGTTCTTTTTATTTTTATCTATTTAATGGTTCTTCTGCTAAGATGTCACTTCTTTCATCATTCTGATGATTGATGTATTTGACGCTGTAAGAAGACGGGCTCTTAAAAGAAACTGCAGATTTTGGCAACTCTTTCGAATGTCTATCTTCGTTAATGTTGTTCCATGGCTGCAGATCCGCAGAAGCAAATATGATGTAAAATATGCCAACGATGAAATAAATAGCTGATGTCATCATGANATCTTCGGAATAAAATATTGAAAATACAATATGAATCTTGCTATATTTAACATTCTTATTGTATCTTCGGAATAAAATATTGAAAATACAATATGGATCATGGTATATTTAACATTCTTACTGTATCTTCGGAATTAAATATTGAAAATACAATATGAATCATGCTATATTTAACATTCTTACTGTATCTTCGGAATAAAATACTGAAAATGCAATATGAATCATGCTATATTTAACATTCTTACTGTATCATTGGAATAAAATATTGAAAATACAATATGAATAATGCTATATTTAACATTCAGTCGAACATCCTGTCATTCTCTTTAACATTCTATGTATTGTCTTTAACATTTTCTGTATTCTACATTATGTGTTCGACATCATTCTACGTATTGTATTATTCTATGTATTGTCTTTAACATCCACATGCAGAAAAAAAAACTTTCTATCACTTTTGTTCCGTTTGTGTACAGAGAGTTAAGTTAATGATATTTAATGTTAATATTAATTATCATGAATGAAGTTCTTTTTATTTTTATCTATTTAATGGTTCTTCTGCTAAGATGTCACTTCTTTCATCATTCTGATGATTGATGTATTTGACGCTGTAAGAAGACGGGCTCTTAAAAGAAACTGCAGATTTTGGCAACTCTTTCGAATGTCTATCTTCGTTAATGTTGTTCCATGGCTGCAGATCCGCAGAAGCAAATATGATGTAAAATATGCCAACGATGAAATAAATAGCTGATGTCATCATGAAAATGATTCCCCAGTTATTCAAAGTTTGCTGAAAATAAAATAATTTTAAATATATTATCAATGAAGAACAAGAATATTTAAAGCATTGCTTGGTACCAGACCGAATTAACCCAAGAAACTGAAGCGAAAATGTATACTTGCTAACTTAGTTTCTAAAATGCAAGAACATAGACATGTTTTTCACGTTAATTAATAAATTAAGAAAACGCATATGATCGTAATTTTTCGTTCAGAAACATTTTCTAAAGATTTTGATTTCTTTACGTATTTAAAGGAATAACTAATTTGGATTTTTTAAATATTTAATTGACAAATTCTAAGTGATACTTTAATTATGCAGAAATATTAGAGTTGATTTTCACTTACAACAAAGCTGTCCAAAGTAGTGTAGAAAATTTAAATACAAAATAAAAACTATTTAAAAACACTTCAGTGCAAAATACTCAGTAGAATTTATTTTCACTTACAGCAAAGCTGTCTGAAGAAAAAATTTAAATACAAAATAAAAACTATTTAAAAACACTTCAACGCAAAATACTTTAGCAGATTTGGTTTTCACTTACAGCAAAACTGTCAAAAGAAGTGCATACAATTTAAATACAAAATAATAACGATTTAAAAATGCTTCTATGCAAACTATTTAGCAAAGGTCTTCTTAGCAAAAGTGGAGAAAATTTAATTGCAAAATAAAAACTATTTAAAGATACTTCAATGCAAAATGCTTTCACTTACAGCAAATCTGTCACAAGTAGTGCTAATAAATTTAAATACAAAATATAAACTATTCAAAAATATTTCAAAGCAAAATACTTAGCAAAGGTCTTTACTTACAGCAAAGTTGTCCCAGGAAGTGGAGAAAATTTAAATACAAAATAGAAACTATTTCAAAATGCTTCAAAGCAAAATACTTAGAAGAGTTGGTTTTCACTTACAGAATAAATCACAAGTAATGCTAAGCTAATCACAAGTAACAAGCTAATCTGTCACAAGTAATGCTAATAAATTTAAAAAACAAGATTTAAACTATTTAAAAATATTTCAATTCAGAATATTTAGAGTTGGTTTTCACTGACAGTAAAGCTGTCCCAAGAAGTGCAGAAAACTTAAATACAAAATAAACACTGTTTAACTTTTGAAAATTTGGTGCTGAAGCCGAAATTTTAAGGAAAACGCAGAATAAAGCTGTTTGCAATGATGAGTAAACTTAACGACGAAAGTTTTTCGATTTGGAATATGGGTAAATTTCATTGAAACTGGAAATTAGGTTAATTTGTGTAAATTGTAATGATAATAAGAAAACTCATGATCATTCATGTGTTGAAAGAGAGCATGTGTTTATGTACAAGAGAGATTGCACCGCATGTATGCAATAGCTTGATTGGGAAGTTTACCAAAGTCACTGTAATCAGTCACTCAGATTATTTGGACTAAAACAATATTTGACCTTAAAATTCTCTCTCAATAAATTCCACATCATTGTTAGCATTATTTAAATTAACAGTTTATATTTCCAAATTACTCACCCCACTTTTCAGAATTACTCCAATCAATGTTGGTGCTAGAAATCCCGGTAGCGTAGCAGCGGTATTGGTTATTCCAAACAATGTTCCTGAAAATTAACACGCGACAGTTAATGCAACATATTGATTATATATTTTTTAAATATTTATTCATTAAAAGTAAAACTCTACTAAATTATACTTATAAACTGAGAAACTAGTTGAAACTTTCTCAACCTAGTGAGACAATTCAAACACCGTGTTTTTCTATATTTTTCATACCACATATAATTTTACTTCCGTGTTAAATATTTCCTTTCTAATGGGTTAATGAGTATATTTGAGTAATAATTTTTTATTTGCACTTCGAGAAGAAGAAGAGTACAGATACTCCATGTGATCTATGACGTCAGCGCCAGTTCATCGTTTATAAGCAAAATGGCGAGTTAAAATTAAGCTAAGTTCTCCCACATAAGTTAGAATGTACAGAACCCACATAAGTTAGAACCCACTAAGTTCTCCCCGCATAAGTTAGAAATACAGAACCGTATCGAACATTGAATTTTTTAAAAAATTAATCCTTTCTCGTCTACGTCTTTTACTTAACTTACTTTTATTATTTGTTATGTCGCTAAGCAGCCGACCCAATTTTGAGTTTACGACTATCAATGTTCAACTCCCGTAGCCTCGTAATTTTGAAACCAATTCAGAAGACAAGGGGACTCCTGGATAATGAAGTATTGTGAGAAATTTGCCTTCGTAGAGGGCTTTCTGATGGATCTAACGCAAATTAACGTTACACGGAGAGGAGGAACACGAAAATCTCCTATAGTTAGCCTGTTGGCAAGAGGACTCTAAACCCCTGCTCCTCCTACCACTGAGGATATTTTACGTTAGCACTGTGGTCGGTATGAGGCGGGTTCACCCAGTTCACCTCATAGGGAGGCATGACTACCATGACTTAAACGCTATTTTGCTAACGGCACGCGTTGTTCTTAGGTGGTTATCTTCCCAAGTACTGACCACAACCAACGATGATTGAATTCAGTGATCGGATCAGAACTGGTATATTCATCAACAATTAAATCTGAAATTCCAATCTGAAATTTCGTAGTTGCCTTTTATTGAATAGCATATTGAGCATGTTTTGTGGATAGAGAATCGATACGCACTGTATATTAATTGATTTTCTTTTATGTATATTCTCGTCAAGCCTTAAGAGTAACATTTTGTGGTAGTTATGGCAACAAATGTTTATTTAAAGAATATCTTCATTGATTCATGCTGCCATAACCCAATTTTTAAATAATTCTATTGCATTATTTTCGATACAGACTGCTCGCAAATGTAAATTTTCAGAATGGCATGTTGTAAAGTATTAAGCAAATTTGAATTCTAGAGCATATGACTGAACTAAATGTATACAACCTTTAAAGGGCCTTTTCTCAACGAAATGTTTCAATACTTATATTGCGTATAATTTTTGAAACTTTTTTTCTAATAGTTTGATTACAAATAAGAAACTTTATCATTATTATTGATTCAGTTTCTGTTGACCACAAAATTTTCCTATTTTGATTAGAATTTCTGATTGATTAATTGATAAATACTAACCTTAACTACGTTTTTTCGTTTAATAAGTATTTTTACTTTTCCAGAAGAATTTAAAAACACTGCACGTGCTATCATTAATTTTATCAAAGGGTTTCTGCTTTCAATCGATTTAAATATAGAAGAAATGGCAAAAATGTTCCCTTTGTTGAAGTCTCCATTGAGGAATATAGTACGCCATTAACAATGCATTTGTTAAGCGTCTTTTTTAAAAAAATATATCTTTATTTCAAACATATATACACTAAAATGGCTATAGCATAAGTATCTTAACGTAAATGTGTAAATTAAAGTAGTGGATATCTTATGAGTATAAACGCATATCTAATGAATATCACAACATTTGACGTTTGTCGTAAATATAAATTGCGTGAATTGAGAATTAAACGTTAGTTCAAACCCATGACTCACCAGCAAATTGTGGACTCATATCTACGTGATTAACGAGGACACCCGAAAATATAAAACCATTAAATCCAAAGGATAAGCAGAGGACGGCTACTATAATGATAGGATGACATCCGATAAAAGCAATGGAAAGAACACAAACTCCTGGTAAAAATATTGCTGAAAAAAAAAAGATATGCATCATTCTGTAATTAAATATTTATTAAATTATAATATTAAAACTAGTTTACACCACAAATGAATGCAAAATAAATAGTGCTTAACAACATTGCTCAATCCCTTAATTTTATTTCTTTTTATTGTATTTTTAGTGTTTTTCATAAAATGAAATTTCAACTATTCATTAAAGGAAAATAATACTGTCAAAACATTAAGCATTAGCGAATGAATTGGAGATATTTTTGATTTCACACCAAATAAAGAGTTTCTTCTTTCGCTACTAAGAAATAGTTTTGCTTTTGCAACATTTATAGGTTTCATGCTAAATACACAGTTTCTTACTTTCGCTAATAAGAAATAGTTTAGTGACGTTTTTAAGTTTCATGCCAAATACAGAGTTTTTTTCTTTCGCTACTAAGAAATAGTTTTCTTTTGAGACGTTTTTTAGGTTTCATGCCAAATACAGAGTTCTTTACGTTAATAAGAAATAGGTTTGTTTTGAAATTAAAAAAAAATTGGATGTAAAGATCAAAACTGAGGCTGGAGCATACCAATGCTGGTCATGAGTTTCCTGATCGTTGTGATTTCGAGTCGACCGCTGGCCCTGATTGTGTCAGCTGTTAAACTAGCCAATATCGAACACAATGTCATAGTCAACCATGGCAGGCCAGATAGTATTCCATTCTGAAATATGAAAAAACGAAGTTAAAGCAAAGCACCACAGCTTCGTAGAGTATATATATATATATNTTTTTTCTCCCCAAAATATCTCGTAGTGCTTAATGTCTCTAACTTTTCTACTAATCACTTTAACGTAGGCATCATATACAGGGTGATTCATAAAAGATGGGCAAAATTTTAGGAAGTGATAGTAAACATTAACACCCAAGTAAACATTTTTCATCAAAGAATGCATGGTCGAAAACAAAACGCAAAGGAGCTGGCGCATTTGGAAAGTTGTTTCATGCAAACGAGAAAGCTCCATTCCTGTTGCGATTTACCGCGCTGCGAGTTATTATTTGCATGTTATGGGAAGAAGAGCCTTTATCTTGGTGGTCCTTTAGCTTGGCCACCGCGCTAGCCAAATCTTTCATGTCTCGATTTTTTTCTGTGGGGGCAGCTGAAGGCTCTTATGTATAAGACTCCCATTGAACCTGCAGAAGAACTTCTCTCCAAGCTTTCGGCCGCTGCAGGGGAATTTATGTCTCTTGCACACATATGCCTGGTGTGTTTCAGAATGTTCGCCAATCTTTTCTTCGCCATTGTACTGCGTGCTTAGCTGCGGCCAGCCACTGTTTTGAACGCTTATTGTAATCACATGCCATTAAATTTGCTTTTATAACTTAACTTCATCGTTCTTTGTGTGTTTTTGCCTCATATAAGAACATAACTTTGAACTCCCTCTAGCGGTTTTGTTTTCGACCATGCATTCTTTGATAAAAATTGTTTGCTTGGGTGTGTACTGTCACCTCCTAAAATTTTGCCCATCTTTTATGAATCACCCTGTGTATATATATATATATATATATATATTCACCGAAGAGCCATTACATTATGACCACCCTGCTAGTAACATGTAGGACCACTTTTAGCCCTCAAAACTGCTAGCACCCGCCGTGGCATTGATTCCACAAGGTGCTGTTAGGTAGTCGTAGGTATCTGGTACCAAGCGCTCACCAACTGGTCCTGTAATTCCCTCACATTGCGAGGGGGTAGCGTGGCAGCACGAATTTGGTTTTTCAAGTAGGACCACAAATGCTCTATTGGATTAAGTTAAGGTGAATTTGGGGGCCAAGGCATGACTTGAAAGTCACTGCAATGTTCCTCGAACCAATCCATGACGATTCGACCCTTATGACATTGTGCATTATCCTGTTGGTAAACACCATCCCCGCAGGAAAAACTGTTGCCATGAATGGTGAACCTGCTCTGCAACTATGTTCAAGTAGCTTACTGACGTCAGGGATTGTTCTATGAGGATTATGGGTACTAATGTGCCCCATGGAAACCACGAAAACCTGGGCGAGAAACCATGAAAACCTGGGCGAGCCTATTGTTATAGATGGAGGGTGGTCATAATGTAATGGCTCTTTTTCAGAGGCTGAAAAAAACTTACTTAACAAGGATGTCAAGGGTGATTAAAATGTAAGAACTGGTAGAAACTTTTCTTATTTTTACTTATTCAGTTCTATTTAATTTAAAACCGTAACTACCACATTGCAAAATATTCAGATATAATAAAAAAGAAGCATTCTTTACATTTACTTTTTAACTATACTGAGAAGAATATGCTAAAAAAATTGATAATTTTAATAGAGTTGGATGTTTAATTAGTTAACATTTTTAGTAGCCCGCTGCATCCCTGAACCAATTGAAGTAATACGTAGAAGCTGAACTGAACTTGTTTTTATATAGCTGGGCCTTTATCGTGTATTATTTATTGTTGTATACGTTCTTTGTGATCAACACACTGTTTAGTAACTGTTAGATTACGTAGAAGCTGAAGGTCCCGATTGAGAGGGTAGGTTTTCTTTCAATATTTAAAGTGGTTACAAATTGTTTGTTTCAATATTTTTGTCTGAGATAAACCTCTTCACAGACGTGCTCGTATATACTCCTTCTCATGGTTACTTTCAATTAGGGTGAGAAAAAAGATAAAAACTTCTTGCTTAACAATTTCGTTAGCAGTTTATTTGTGGAGGTAATAATAATAGTTTGATTTATTTAAAGTACCACTACTTAACTCAGAAAAAATTTATATAGAATTTGAAAATTTTTTGTTACGCTGTTTATAGTGATCTGCCAATCGATTCAGTTAAATGAATCGATTCTTTAGAATCAATTCACTAAAATGAACGGTTTTATGAATCGATTCTTTTTTTTAATGGTCGTTATAATAGAAGAGTCTTTAAAAGAGGAGGTCGTACAAATTAGTTTAGACTGTTTTAGTATTTGAATTATTTGATCTAGGTCAGGGGCTCTCAATATTTTTCGGCTATGGAACCCTAAATAATTAACCTTCTTTCGGCGGAACACCTGACTTTATAAATAAAGTTTTTTAAGGAAATACTGAACGTTATAGCCTATTAAAAATATTTTTAAAGTATTTAACTAGAGGAAGGAAGAATTTTCATCGTTTTATCAGTAATATCCGAAAGTTAAATTTTCAGCTCTTGTGCTATATTTAGTCTAATTAGGAATTCCATTTTAGTGTTTAAGTTGAAAATAAATAATTTGAAATAAATAAATAATAAGTTAAAATAAGCCGAATTATGTTCTACTTCGTAATGAAAATTTAGAAAAACTGCCAAAAACGTTGGAAATGGTAATTAAGGAAACATATTTCTTTATTAAAGAAGATAATTATTTTGATTCGAAAAGTGTAATGAGAAATACCAATGCAATATTTTATGAATGCCTGTCCATTTCATAATTTATGCATTATATTGTTATTATAAATATTATATTTTCTTTAAAAAAATGCCATTTCTATTTTATTGGTTATATGTTAAATAAATTGTATCTAAATAGAATCGTATCCTCAGATTGTATTCAAATACAATCTGAGGTCTCAAAACTCATCACTGGCCATAGAAAGTACTAACTGGCTTACCCCCCGTAACTGTTAATGGAACCAAAGGGTTCCATGTAACACCATTTGGGAACTACTCTTTCAGACCTTGTGCTCTAGGGTGCCGAAGTTGAATGCTCTACTTGAGTGGCTATAAAAGTACTATCTCGTGTAATCACTGTATCTTTTCCACGGAACCATAGGGCTTTACGGAACACCAATTGGGGACCATTAATTTAGATCTTGGGCTCTAGGGTGCAGAAGCAGAATATTCCAGTTAAGTGGTCAGCCGAATGTGGCGAAAAAAAGGACCAACTGGCGGAACCCTTACAATTCTTGACGGAACTCTAGAGTTCCATTTGGGAACCACTCATTTAGATCTTATACTCTAGGGGGCAGAAGTTGAATGTTCTACTTGGGGGGGCTGTAAAAGTACTATTTCGTGTAATAGCTGTAACTTTTCCACGGAACCATAGGGCTGGCCGGAACACCAATTGGGAACAGTTAAACTAGATCTCGGGCTCTATGGTTTAAGAGCAGAATGTTCCACTTGGGTGGTCCAGTTGAATGAGACTATAAAAAGTACTAACTAGTGGAACCCCTGTAATTCTAAACGGAACCCAAGGGTTCCGCCAAACACCATTTGGGAACTGCTAATCTAGGCAATACTAATAATTTTTTAGAATTTTAATATTTTTAATTTTTTTGTTAAAATTTGTCTGAAACAAAAATTTTATTAATTTTTTTTCTTTCTAAATTTGTCAATATAAACCCGATAACTAACAATAAAGATATTCGTAAAAAATAAAACAGTAAATTCACTTGTAAAAATGAAAAAGAATTCAAAATGTATCACGTGAAACAAAATAATAAATAGTTGAATTACGTTTTAAAACCTAAAAAATTAAAACTTGAAAAAATGAGAGGATGTAAATTGATATTCTATAAGTTTGCATAAAAGTATTCCTAACGAAAAAGAAGTAAATAAATAAAGAAAATAAAAAATATCCTTCCCCCCCCCCCAGCATTCAAAAAATATTTACTCTGAATACTCAAATTTTTCGCAATAAACAGTTTTTCAACCCCTTAAAATAATAAATAAATATTTTTTTTATCTTTTTCTTAAGAAAAAAAAAACTGTCCTTTTCTCTAAAATTTTTTAGTTACATGCCCCTTTTCATAACCCCCATCCCTCTGAAGGTATCTTTTAATATTAGAAAATAAGATAATAGCGAAAAGAATCGATTCGTTTCACAAAACAGTTCTTGTAATGTTAAAAGATATAAAACCGCTCAAATGAATCGTTTAAACAGTTCAGTGAATCGAATGCAATGTTAAAGTATAGGAAAACGATTCAAAAGAACTGATTGGAAATCCAAATCAACTCTTCGAGCCGATTTCAATGTTAAGAGATACGAAACGACTCAAATGAATCGTTTAGAAGTTCAATTCAACTCTTTGAGCCGATTTCAATGTTAAGGGATAGGAAACAGTTCAAAAGAATCGATTCATTTGGCTTTATGATTCTTTTAATGCTAAGAGATAGGCAAACAGTTCATTGAGTCGTTTATTCGACTCTTGATTCTTTTTCTCGCATTCGGCTCATTTTTAACCAATCAGAGGATCGTTCATTCGATTCTCGACTCTTTTTGTCTCATTCAACTCATTTTCAACCAATCAGAGATTTGCATTCATACGTAAGTTCATTACCCAATCAGCGCAACGGTTTCATTTTCTATGGCTCTCGCTCCTTGGCATAGAATAAACGATAACATAAAACTCTGCTTTACTTCATATTTACTGAAATTTATAAATCGAAAATTAAACATATGAATGAAAAAATTCGCTCTTTAATATTAAAGGACTGAAAAGTAATATCTGAGCTTTACAGCATTAATATCTTTTTTATTTGAAAGGAAGAACCGAAACTGGAGAAGACAGCTTTTCAGTTGTTGTTGCCATTTTTAAATTGTTGTTTATCAATAGAATTTATTAATTTCGTAGATGAAAAGAAAAAAAGAGAGAGTGATGCATACAGTACGTATTGCATTAATAGCATTTTCAATTCCCTTCATCCTTCAAGTGAGTCCATTTTATTAATCACCTCCAGAAACAGGTTGTGCGCTAACGTTGACATCGGGGTCATTCTCATTGGATGCGATTTTTCCGCTTGCGAAATCTCTCACACATACGAGTACCTTATTGGCTAGTTGTTCGCATGTAAATATTTTCAACCAATCAGATTGTCATTCACATGATACTCGAGTGAGAATGGACCAGTGTCTATTCGATTGAGTTAGGATTTTACCAAGCTCCAATTGTATAAACGAAATGCTGTATCAAATGCATCTGCGGATGTTTAGTAAGTATAAGTACTAACTCTGAATAAGCTTATAAAGTGTAGAGTACAAAATATTATCAAAAAAAAAATCGATTCTTTTTCAAAAACGAACTTGATGAATCGATTCACAAAAAAGAGTTGATTGAAATATCGATTCGTTCGTTTTTCGCACATCACTAGCGGTATATACTCACAAAAAAAACAAAAAACAAACAAACGATAAATGTGATTCTCAGACCGGGAGTACTCTAGCCTTAGATATTTACATAAATGTTTTCCTATAGATATTTAAATGCATATTCATCATGACCATGTTAAATTAAATGTACACTCATCATATTTATTAAGTTTCTTAGATATTTTATTTAACACTAGCTTTACGGGACGCGTCCTTTTGACGGCGCATTTCGAATTTTATGAGTGAAAAAAAACCCTTTTGCATTTTTTATTTATCTCTTGTAATGACTTTTATCCATTGATCGTAGTAAATATATATTGAAGTCTATTTTCTTCAAACGCGTTGAAATATTGAAATTCTCTTTGTGGTATACCTATCTCTACGGATATGCGTCAATTTGACGCGATCGTAATTTAGACAAAATTTTGAGTAAATAAGAAAACATCACATCAATAATAAATAGGAATGTAAAGACAATACTTCGATCCGTTATCCGATGTTGTTATCTCAAATGAAACAAGCGATAAACAACTGTTGCCGATAAACAATAATAGAAAGAACAAAAGCAGAAAGTCAATTGATGTCAGAGTGTCAGTTTTTGAAGGTTGCTTAGTTCGAGTATTGAGAAATAAAATACTAGAATATTTCATAAATATATATCTCATATTTTATTTTTCTTTCCTTATAGAATATAATTACATTGCTTTCTAAGTGCAGAGACGCCAACTGCTCCGGACACGCCAAAATAATTAAAAAAAACTGTAAATAACTACTAAGTAAATTTTGCAAATATAAAGTCGCGAATTGAATAAGCCTACAATTTATTTAGAAATAGTGGTGGATATAAATTTACTAAATTGAATTTATTAAACCAAGAATCACAATTGATAAACTACCACTTTAAGTCTGGAGCAAGTTGGCACCTCTGTAAGTGCAGTGATATGTATTTGTTCATGCGTCAAATTAATGCGTGTTCGTAGAGATAGGTATATAAGAAACGTCCGTAAACCTAGTGTTAACGTTATATCTTTAACTAATATCATTACTTGAGCTGCACACCACTGCATGCTAATACAGTCGCCAAATGCCATAATTTCCTCCAAATACTTATGACATTAGTCACAGTTGCCCTAGGGCAATTTAGAGGTTTAGTGCGGGCTAGCTCGGTCTGGCACCTCACCTATAACCAGATCGAGTCGTGTCGAGAAAAATGAAATTAGTGGATTATTACATTTAAACTAAAGAAAAACTACCGATAAGACAACTTTTTTGCGAAATTAAAGGGAATTTTAGAAATCGAAATAAAGTATAGCAAACTAACATCCTTCATCAATTTATAATTTTTCTCAAAATGTTTCTTTTTACAAGTTTTGTAGGAAACTATGTAACCGTTTAAATGCCTAAGTTCCATTTTTGGAACATGTGTCTTTATCAAAATGTTAAAGATTGATGGTAACTCATATCTTACATTCTTAGCATTTAGAAAAACTGAATGTTCCTGTTCCAACCAAAATTTATCAATTATCTATTGCTTTTTGAAATCAAACAACTGATGCATTTTTTAAAAAACAAAATTAGTTACTAACTGAAGAAAAGTTCAATTTTAACTTTCTACCACATTTTTCATAACGAAACTTTTTTCCATTAGTACAAAATAAGAGTTGGGCAGGCAAATGGTGAAATCTAGCATGCGTGTTTTATCTAGCATGCGTGTTGTGCGTGTATCGTAATCCCTCTCAGGTATCGATTTTGTAAAATGCACCCCATAACAATGTAAGTGGTAAAAAAATTAATATAATTGCAGTTTTTCAAAATAAACGGAGATAATTGATAAAAAATTAAAAAAGAGATCAAATTAATCTATTTTTTCTAGTATATTTCTTTCCGCTCACCATTGCATATGAATACAAGGGCACGGTATGATATTAAATTTTTTAAATGTACTAGTTTCATGTGCCAACTCACCCGGTTCTCCCAGAGGATTTTGTTTTCCTATTTAAAGTGGTAGCGAAACTCATGTTATCCCATTAAACATTGTGAATTGTATTAATAATTATAAATAAGTTTGTACACCACTACATATAACTAATTACAAAAAATATAAAAAAAGCATAATAGCAGAGATGCCAACTGCTCCGGACAAGCCAAAATAATTAATAAAACGGTAGATAACTGCAAAGTAAATTTTGCAAATATTTTACTATTTTTGCTTGCTTTTTAAATGGTATAGCATGGCATACGTACTACAAAGCGGTGAATTATATAAGCCTACGAATTATTTAGAAATAATGGTGGATAAAAATCTACTAAATTGAATTTATTAAATTAAGAATCACAACTGATAAACTACCACTTTAAAATATATATTTGTTGTCCGGAGCAAGTTGGCATCTCTGTAATAATTTGTACCATAACGAGTATAAAACTGACAAAAAAAGTAGATTTTTGTGAAAGATTGTATTGTGTTAATTATTTAACAGCACTTGGAAAATCCATAATTGTAAAGAGTGACAGTTGGTAGGTATGCATATGTGATAATGCCTAAGAAGGTAACTGACATACTTGCCAACTTTTACGCACTTCTAAAAAGCTTTTTGTCAGTGGTAGTGAAGTAACCATTGCTGGCCTGCCAACTTGCAATCTTTTTGTTAAAATTTATTCTAGTGGTAGTTATGCTTATGTTTTAATCCATTATTTTTTGTTTATTTGAACTTATTTTCTACACCACTACATATAAAAATTCATGGTTCAAAGGTTAATAAAGTACAATTTAAAATATAGGTGTAATTACCAAAAATTCTGAAAGCTTTGATTTTTAATTATCTATCAGTCAATAAATTACTTTGCAAAAAGCGTAGTAGTTGGCAGGCATCGATATATCGATTAGTTTACTGCGAAAATTTTAGTCACCCTAAGGCACTAACACCAATGAAGACTTGAGGTGTCCGCTTCGGGGACAGATGCTTAGAATCCAATTAAAAGGCAAGTCGGTTAGATATGTTAAAACGAAATGAAATGAGGAAAAAAAAATTCTATTGAATCTGTCTCACCTACATTTAAGCTACCGCTTTTTTTCCACCCTGATTCTGTTTGAACGCAAAAGGTTAATAAAGTAGATTTATTATAATTTTTCAATTAACACATATAAATAAGAGAAATATGCATACTAAAGTCAGACAGTATTCCTTATAAATATTAAGCAGCCGAAAGATTAAAATTATCTCCTGTTTGCAATAGTAATTTCAGTTGTTATATTGCTATTACTACAAATAATACTGATTTGAAAGTCTAAAAAACGTCATTTATGCGAAATCAGGGTGGCCACAGACAAATTTAAAAACTGTTAAGATATGTTGTAACTAATTCCTATTTACTAAAAAGTATAGGTTAACGAAATATTTGTGTAAAAACTGTTCAACAAAATTCTTAAAATAAAATTAAATTATTTAAAAATTCCATAAGCCTTTTGACAATAGTGACCACTTTTTAAATTATTTTGAGCTTGGTCTACGTCTAGGTTCATACTTATTGTGGTAGCTTATTTATAGGTGGTAGGAGAGAATATGCATTTCCTCTGGAATGCTAAGAGAAAATAGATATAATTTTATTGAAACTTACATTCTTTAAATCAAAATGCAAAACATTGGACAAATATGTTGGTGCCATAATCAACAAAGTGTAAAATGCCCAGTTGTGTCCAAAATGACCAATAACTACCGCCCACACTGGCAACGATGTCCAAATGGATTTCCATGGAATTTTAACGTTCTAGAAAAAGTGAAAATAAAAATAATTATTATTATTAAAGCTGATATCCCATAAAAAGCTTTCAATTTTAAGTGATAGGAATTAAACATCTATAATCAAAAATCCATACAGATGCTAAATGTTTCATCGAAACTAAATAAGGCTCGTAGTGCATGGATAGTGTTTTCAATATAAATGTAAACAACAAGTAGGTCTCTAGTGCCGAAATTGCTCTACAAATACTGCTCTTTGAAAGTATGGAGCTGCTTACAGTAACTTATTCTGATAGGCGATATTTTCAAACATATAATTTTGTATTTAATAAAAAAATTAATTTCATATAATTTCTGAGCTCAAGTCTGCTGCTTTGTAAGACATTAATGATAATGAGTAATTCTAGCGAGTTTGAAGTTAAAATTTGTTCTAGTTATTTAAAGATGTATTGTTTAAAAAAATTATGTGTTTGCTAGATTTAGAGAGAACTCGCTTTTTTGGCCTCTTTCTACTTGTTTATTACTGTTTGTTACAAGAAGTACACTATCCTAGGTAGTGTTAGCATATTGTTCGAGCAGAGAGATTTATCTCAGTTTAAAAATTATCATTTAGTTTTAGAATTTTGAAGTTGGTATATTGTTAACAAGGTAATAAGTGTTTTACAACGATTCTTTTTTTTCAAGTGACAATTCTTAATTCTTGAAATGACAGGTCTTCAAATGACAATACTCATAAAAAAAATTTTAAAACACAAATAATGAATCAGGTATCAATAACACATTAACAAGAAATACTATTCAAGAGAATCTCAAAAACAATGACCACGTTACGAGCCAAATGGTCTCAAAATACACCAGAAGCAGTAATCCGGAATTATAGGCTGTAAAAAGATTGCAGTGCACCCTAGTGTAGAAAACACCATCCACACTTTAAAAGACTTATCTTCTTAGAACTACTTATTTAAAAGATTCTTCTTCACTAAAGTAAAATTTTTGATTGACTTACAATCTTAGCTCTTTTTTCGATGTTTGCTTGTATGAATGTTAATTCTTTTTTTGTTATGAAAGGATGAGTTTCTGGACTTTCATAAACCAAAACTGCCCACAAAAGAAACCAGACACAACCAAGGCTACCTAAAAAAAAAAATTATGCCATGAGGGTGATTTCTACAAATAAATGTTTCAAGATTTATTTGATTGAAAACATTTTATATGCAAGGGGAAAGTTTAAAATTGTTAACTTCAATATGAAAAATGCAGTATTTAAAAAAAAAAATCTTTTTATTGTTATTACGTCCCCAGATCTAAGAATATAGAAAGGAGAAAAAGTCCATCAGCTCTCAGAATACATAACTAACTCAGAGAACTGTTTGGTTTGGTATGCTACACCAGAAAAACCATTTATAGGGTGAGAAACATGCCTAGATTTAACAAAACATCATATGTACTAAGATCCAGCGCATGCGCATAAGAAGCAACGTGACTGCCAGGAGGTATGTCACCAGTGAACCGGTTTTAGGGCAATTTTAAATGTATTGTTGCGTAAGCAAGCTTCCAGCCAACTGCGTTTTTATTTCTACTTTCTATGTCAAAATGTGTTATCAGATTTTGTCAACATGGATAATATAAATGGTTTTTCAAGGAAATATCTTTATTAACAGTACAGCACTGTTTATCAATAGTGTAAAAATTTAGAGCAGACCAATAATAAATAAAAAAGAGAAAAATTTTCTTCTTCTCCCCAACCCCAATAGTTCTTGGGAGGAGAGGAGAGTGGAAACCTGTTTCAAGAACTTTGGGTAATGAATCTCTAAATATCGTTTTTTTCCTTTATACACAGGGACCACACCAAACCTTGGGGTACTGGTTTATATTATGATTATGAAAGAACCTTCCTCCCCTATGTACATTGTTTGTCTAGGTGGCAGATTGAGGAATGCCTCCATCAGTTTTCCACTCTGTGGTAGAAGGTAAATAAAATACCCCTCTCTGACCAACAGGTAAAAGTACAACCTCTGGCAACAATTCCTTCATGGAGAATCAGCAGAGTTAGATTAAGAACTTTTGACCTTGCAACAATTGCCCAGAAACATAACTTCTCTCCACGTGTTTGATTTTCCGGCAATAACCTTTTAGATACCTAAACTTGCCAGCTTAGTAAAAAGGATGGAAAATGTCGTAACATTTAGCATTACAGTGAGACTCAGAATGTTTCCTAGAGTAAGGTTCACTTACCAAAGATGTAAAATGCTGAGGGCCATCCACCAAATATAGGGCTTTCACATAATATTCCCGTTATGGGATTTGTAATGACGGTGCCAACCATAATTCCTACACAAATCGCAGTCGTTATTCTACTTCGTTCATTCTTTGGCGACCATTGGCTAATCATTACGGTCATTGCCGGTGGTACAACACCCTATAAAGCAAGATTTCCTTTTAAAATTTTCTCAAATTTTTTTAATTTTAACAAAAATTTTAATTTATTTTTATTTTACTGCAATGATAAAAGTGGATTTATAACAGCAATTTCAAATGTTTATTCATAAATGCCAAAAATCATCATTCATAATGTAAAAATCATTATCATCATTAAACATGAAAAATAAATGAGGTTCATATTTTAGATTTTAATGATTTATTGTCTCCTTAAGATTGTATTTTTATAGTTTACTAGTCTGCGTGTGTAACTTTTTTTATTTGTTGCTTTTTTCAGCCTTGTCATCGGGCTTAATTATTTTGAAAAGTGTAATTCCTTCTCTTTTTAATTCATTAATTAAGCCGTTTTTTATTATGGTGATATTTTTCAGAATAACCAATACATACAGCATACCTGCCAACTCTTCCGGATTTTCCGGAAGATTTTATTTTCTTATTTAAAGTGGTAGTAATTATATACTATTTTTTCTTTTATAATCTTAATTTTCAAATGATTTTGATCACCACTATTCTTACAAAAATTAAGCACATATATTAATATGCGTTAACACCCTGGTTGTCAACTTAAGTTTGCTCGTATACAACGTATTTGTTTGCTTAAAATTAAAGTTTTATTTCCATTTTAATACCACTGGGAAAAATGATAATGGAAGGGATTAAAAGTTGGCAGGTATGCAGACAGTTTCAAAAAGCTATAGCTGCTGTTGCTTCTCTGATGTTGCTCCAGAAATAATCGTTTTAAAAGTTAAAATTTTATATGCTAAATGCCACGTAAAATTTGATTTATGGACTTCATCGCGCCAGTTTCAGGGCGGAAAGTCCATATTTATAAAGACGAAAAAGAATAAAAACTGGTATCAAAAAAATTTTATTTTTAGCTTTTTATCTGGAATAATTAAATGTTCGAAACTACCATTTTTTTAAGGGGTAGAATTTATAGGTTGAATTGCTTCCTCCCCGAGAAAAAATTAACAGCAATTAATTGTTTATTGTTAAGAATAGTTTTACTCCTCCCAAAAATTACCTATTATTAAAATAGTTCTACTGCCAGTTTTTTTCTCTTTTCCATCTCTCTTTCAGGCCCCGCTATTTTGTTGAAAGGGCGATATTATTTTAGAGCTATCAGTGGTATCAATCCTTCAATGCTCTTCAGAATTGATTTTTACATTTTCAACCGTTGTGTTGCTTTTACTAGTAACTGCAACTGTTAATATCGTTTAATTACTTACCGAAGCTAGTCCTTCTATGACGCGAGCAGCCATCAATGTCCAAATGCTCCATCTAGCGGCTAAGGGTGTCAACAATGTAAAAATAGCAGTTACGAGGATACCAAATCCAGTTACCCACTTTGCGCTACATTTTTCTGCAAGAATTCCTCCAGGTATTTGAGTGAAGAGGTAACCATAGAAGAAAGATCCCAGAATTTGCCCTTGGATTTGAGAATCCCAATCGAATTCTCCCATTATTATCTAAAAAACATAATCATATTTATACACATATTTCTGCTTCCAAAATAATTTTGGAACTTCCATAAAAAAGTGGTTGAGCATAGTGAAACAAAGAATATATAAAAATTAATTAGATTTTTCTGAAAAAAATAGTTCCTCACTACTAAAACAAACATATTAAACATCTAGATACTAAATAACCAAGTTCTCATTGACATGGCCATGTTCTTATGTTTTTAAAATAGGTTTTAAAATTTCAAATTAGCCTTTGAAGACCTGTTTGTTTTCGTAATAGTTGGCAGCCAATTATCGTTTCTTAGCTGTACTAAATTTCTTCTTACCTTAGTTTCTTCTACTTTGGTGGCATTCCTCGAATTTATAAGTTCCGGACATGTTTGTAATGTTTCATTTGTTCCATTGGCCACTCGACGAGGTTTCCCAACCATGGCAACCATTGCCACGCTAAGATTTACACGCATTGCATAAAATGTAATAAAGCCAAAACAGCCTAATATGACCAACACTACACGCATCGGGATAACTGAAAATAAAGAAATCAAATTTATTTAATATAATATCAAATATTTAAGAATGCTATTTCAACAATTTCTTGACACCAAAAATCCATAACGCTGTATATTTAATTCTGTGATAACATAAAAAAATAATGTCATGAAGGAGTACAGTAACGTTTAGGTTTGGAGAATATATCTTTGATTCAGCTAAAATCAAAGCTATTTATCTTATATATTTCTAATACATGCCTACATGCCCGTTATCAATCATCCGTTTAACGGAGGTGCTAACCGCAGGAGAATTTTTTTCCTATGTAATAAAACTAAAAAAAATTATTAGTTTGAAAAATTTAAGAAAACTCAATTTGCCCACAATTAAATAAAATAGTTTAAACTTGAATCTACTTTTAAAAAAAAATTTTGTACTCCTTATTTCGGAGTATACGGTAATATATGGAAAAATTTATAAGGACAATAATGGGTAACTATAGCAGTTTATCTTTTTAACAAAGAAACATCTAACCAGGCCTACTAAGTATACAGTGGAAGATTTTAAAAATTAAAGCTTTCAGAATTTTTGCCAACATTTTATAAACCTTATTCAGAATATTTCATTAACTAAGCTACCACTAGAAATTTTTTTACAAAAAGCGTTGAAAGATGACTATCCTGCCTAACCAGAAGACCTCGACATGGCGCAAAAACATATTATATAAATATTTTTTGAGCACATTAACCTTTTTGGGGCTGGCGAGTCATAAATGTATTCGTACAAAATAGGAATCAAGATGGTAAAAAATAATAAGCGGTAACTTAAGTTCGGGCATAGCTAATTTAACAAATTCATTTTCGCTTTTACTTAAAATCTAACGCATCCAATCCATGTTTCACAAAAGTCTACCTATATAATTTTTAATTCGAACCAAGTAGTGGTGAATTAAATTAAGTAAACTATTATTACTCCACCCAGAATTAAACTGCTGAATAGCTTTGGCTACCAATTTTATTTTTTTTACCCAGACTGTTGCCACCCTGAAAATGCATATATATGACTCGCCCGTCTCGAAGAGGTTAACAGGGATGCCAATTACTCCACTTTCCGCAGAAGTTTTAATAAATTGGTAGCAAATTAAGTAGTAAATTGTGCAATAATGATTACGCCCTCTTTTTAATAGTGTCACCATGAGATAGCTACAATAAATTTTCAATATATATGATACTTTGAATATTTGATTTGTAGTGGTGAAAAAATGACTCAAAATGAAAAATACTAAACTGAAAATAACTAAAATTTCTTTACCACTAGAATATACTGTTTTACAAAATGGAGCAAGTTGGTATTTCTGCATAAGCGCCCAGTCCCTAAAAGTGATCAAACATAAAAACACCTATATGAAAAAAGTGGTAATATGTACTTGTAACAAGCGGTTAACTTAATTTGTACATTCAGACAAAAAATAAACTAAGCTAAAAACATCATTCTGAAAACGATCTTTTGCTATCCGAAAAAAATTATTTTCAGATTAGAAATCCCCACACTGGAAATACATAGGTTGAAAAACTTATAAATAATAATAAAAAAAAGGAACTTGCTACGCGGAGTTAGCTATTTTTACCAGTTGGAATAATACCTTCCGAGATCACGGTTATTCCGCACAAAATAGAAGGTATCATGATCATCTAAGTATCATTTAAAACTTTTCTTTAACCCTTTTCGAAGAAAATTTTCATAGAAAATTTCTGACAGGCAGCACTTTAGCAACAGCAATCTTAGATGGTGAATTATAGTGAAGAGACATAATTGATTCCTAAATTATTAAAATAATAGCGATTGTTAAAAAAGGGGTAACGGTTTGAAGCAAATAGTTTCAATTTTTAGTGCTTGGCAATAATTTTCGAATAAATGTTGCTGACTTGATGCACTGCTCCAGAAAAGATTAACACCAAATTAACGCTGGTTCAATCCTTGGCTCTTTGTAGTGCAGAAAATCATATTCTCATAAAATTATATTTTAATAAAAATATATTTTAAAAAAGCAAAATGAAAGGATATATAATTTAATTTACATTAATTAAAATAAAAGGGTGAAAGTAGAGTCTGGAAGGACATTAGTAAGTGTGGCTTTGGACAGTACATTTAAGTAAAACAGTATACTTAAGCACTTTGTTGTTAACAGAACAGTGAATGCTAAACGTTTAAAAATAATTATCTTTGGATTTTCAGTGGTTTGTAACATTTGTTGAATTAGTACTGTCCGACTGGCTAAAGGGTTAATGAATGAGTGATTTGAAGATTTGATATAGAATCATCATTAGAAGAAAAATCTTACTGTAACAGTCGAGTATATTGCATACTCACACATTTCTTATTTTTTGGAAAATCCTATACAATCCTACAGTGCTCCGGAAAAGGTTAAGAAATGAGCCGTTTGAAGACTTGAAGTAGAACCATAAGAAGAAAAGTGTTATTGTAAAAGTTGAGTAGACTGCGCGCATATTATTTATGAAAAATCCTATGCAATCCTCCACTGCTCTTGAATAAATTAAGAAATGAGGATTTTGAAGATTTGAAATCGAACCATTAGAGGAAAAGTCTTATTGTAATAATAGAGTGTGAACACATTTCTTATTTATGGAAGAACCTATACAATCCTACATTGCTCCGGAAAAGAGTCTTTTGAAGATTTGAAATAGAGCAATTAAAAGAAAAATCTAATTGTAATAATCGAGCATGCACGCAACTCTTACTTATGGAAAATCCTATAAAATTACTTACTTGTGCATTTTTCTTCGTTCTCATGAGCATGGTCTTGTTTAAAAGTCACATCAGGCAAAACATCATTCGATTTACCGTTATCTGTTGGAACAGAAGAATATTGCCCCTTTTGGACAGAAGACATTGCGAAAAAAATTGTTTAAAGCTCTTTATTCCATAAGAATGTTTAGAGAAAAGGAAATAAGCATATATCTTAACATATTATGAGCAAAAAAAAGTCTACTTGACTAAACATGACTAAATTGCTGCTTCAGTACGGAATAAAGTGGTAGATACGAAATGACTAATGGAGCAGTTTATTGATGTTGCATGGACGTTGATGTAACTATTTTTCTTAGCAGTAAAAAGACTTTTTATTTATTTAATTTAGATAAAGCTGTTCAAATATTGTGTTATTGAAAATCGAAAGAATGACCCAAAAAGAGAATAATATAGAGCTTAAATAAGAAAAGTGCTGCAAATTATTTTGAAGTGTTTTAAGACAAACAAGACTATTTATTGTTTACTGTTGAAATTATTTGACGCACATGTTGTTATATTCAACTTTTATGATAGCTTTATACAACTTGATTAATGTAGTTTTGTTTAAAAAAGAGATAATATACTGATCAAAATGAAGTAAATGAAAATAAATATTCAGTTTCAGAATTTAAAATAAATCTCAGATTGACCGCAGCATATTAATGACACACAATTAAATTTTATTTATATTGAAAATCATCTATAGCAGTAACAAACGAATTTTATTTAAACAAAACGGAAAACACTAATATAGAAGAATTTTAAGAAATCTAAATTTATGGTGCATTCATAAAATATGTATTTAAGAAGGAATTAATTTATAATTATTTAAAAATACAATAGTTTAAAACTTTAACTTAGGTTTATGTACAAAAATTATGAAATACATAAGTATTATGATTCGTTTTTTTATAATTCATAAGCAATACTTATAAATAATTTTATTTCCTGTTTGCAATGACGAATATGTTAAAATAAATGTTTTTAAATAGAAGTGAAAAACATTTGATATGATTCAGTTTTAAATAGTTAGGCTAGATTGTTCCATATTATACAAATGAATACGGATTATTTCCTTTTGGCTTTTTTTGTTAGGCTCTGTCGTAATATGAAATTATGCTTTTCTGGCTAATAATATGCTATTTTTATAACTGCTGTGAGTTTGTAGCTGTTACTAATGACTGTTAGGTGAAGTTTACCCTTTCTAAATCCAGCGCTGTCTACGTTTATTTTGAAAAAATGGAGCAAAACGTAACTATGGAAAAAAGCCACAGTTTTGTGAAAATAAAAAGCGTTTGTGGTTTAATTTTTTAACATTTACAAAATTATTCCAATACAGCATTACCTGGGCTCATAAAAATCTGCAAAAACTGAGAAGAAAGCAGTGATTTTGATAAGTTTCTACTAAAGGGAAACATGCCGCCAAATTGGCGATTCTTAAAAAGGTTTAATAACTTTTAAAATTACTTATGGTTATTAGTCTGTACTAAAACCCAGATAATTCTTCGTGGCAATATAGTTTAAAATCATATCATTGCTTCAAGTGTAAGGCACTTTAACTATGGCTTTTTTATTTTTCTTGGAGACAAAGCTTTGAAAAACAGCGTTAACCCTTTAATGGGCCCTTTATTTCTAGTAAAGGTAAATTAAAGTATTTTTGGAATTGAAATTGTTTTAAGAACAGTAATTGATATAAAAAAACTCATTTAGTTTAATAAAAATGCCATTTTTTTGGTGGAAAATATATTTAACATGACCTATTAGGAACTTACTGACTTTTATTTTTCATTATTCATAAAATAAATTCCATAAATGCTACAAACTTCAAAAGGAATTATGTATTTTATAACTTTTATACGTTTTTTAAAAGTGACAAATGGTTACCAATTTTATTCAAACACACTTCAAGAAAGCTGGAGTTATTGATAAATGGAAACCTAAATTAAAAGTGGTAAAACGCGGTGGTAAGTATACTTACCCCGGCCTTCAAAAGGGTTAAAGAAGATAAAAATTGATAGTTCAACGCTTAAATTTAATACCCCAGAATGGAATTAAAATAGTCAAATAATTCCAAGCTCACATTTCAATCCTCTAAAAGCAACTAAGACTTATCAGATAGTCATAGATTTACATTTTATACCTTTGAAGAAGAAGAAAAAAATCGTTGTGTGGTTCCACAGCGATGCTGACATGCTCCAGACAGCAGAAAATTGTTTTCGTGTGGTAATCTTTTAATGAAAGATTTTCGATTTAGTAATTTCGATTTATCGGATTTTTAATCACCACTACTTCGAAATAAATTAAAGGGTTATGCCACTTTGTCACAGTTTAGCTGCGCTGAGAAGCGTGGAGGTGGCGGGTTCGAACCCAGCCATAACCCTGGATGTATTCTTCGTAATGTCCTTCTGTAAATTGTTCTACATGTCCTTCTATTTGGCAAATGTTTATAAGCCTAAATTGAGCAAAGAAGCCTGCAAATGTATGTAATTTCAATAAAGCAATATTTAGCTACGTTGGTTTAGTACGTTAGCTTTAAAAAGTAATTTTTTTTCAACGAGGGAAAAATGTGGTTTCCTCAAATAGTTTACATTCTCCAAAAAGAGATCGAAATTAGATATTTACTACATTTTATATATTTTAAATAGTTTTAACGTAAATGGTAGGCAGTGGCTGTATTGTTTGGCTGTACCACTTCCAGGTATACCCCAGGGCACTATAAATATAAAATGTGGTAGAAACTCAATTCCCTTTTATTTATTTATTATCTCTTTAATTCTTAAATCGTAACTACCACTGTGACTGAGAGTCCAAATTATTTATATTTGAAATAAAAATATTCTTGCCGTTCCACAAATATTAATTATACAAAAAAGAAGAATTAAAATACTTCCATAACTTCAACCAAAAATGTTCAACTTACCAATACCAATAGTTGGTCCTATAATCAATAGCAAACTCACCTGGAATGATCACATCAAAAGCACAATAGATAAAGCAAATGCAGCAATAATAGCCATAAAACCATTAATATATAATCAGAATATGGTCACTTAAACTAAAGAAGCTACTATATACAGCAATGATCCGCCCAATACTTACCTATGCCTCACCTGCCTGGACAACGATACCTCAACATCTACTGAAGAAATTAAACCAATGCCAAAACAAGATCCTTAGAAAAATAACCTAGGCAATATGGTTCATCCGGAATACCAGTATACATGCAGACCTCAAAATACCAACTCTATCACAGCATATATACAAGCTAAACGCAGATTTTTTCGATAAAGCCATAGAATGTAAAACAGCAAATTTTAATGAAATCTTTAAATTTGAAAATTATATCAAAGATAAAAACTACAGACCAATAGCTGCACATTTCACCTCCGACGCCTCATATCATAACTATCAAAACAAATAATTTCATCA